AATGTGCTGATTTTGGCTCAGATAGTTAATTTTCTTCATAGTAGCTTGTATGGGGCTGTGTTTTGGATTTGTGCTGGAAACAGTGTCAACAATACAGGGATGTTTTTTACCTATTGCTGAGCAGGGCTTACACAGTCAAGGCCTTTTCTGCTTCTCACACCACCCCAGCAAAGAAGGATGCAAGTGCACAAGAATTTGGGAGGAGACACAGCCAGGACAGCTGACCCCAACTGACCAAAGGATATTCTACACCATGACATCATGCTCAGCATATAAAGTTCTGAGAAGAAGGAAGGGGGACATTTGGAGTGATGGCATTTGTCTTCTCAAGTCACTGTTACACGTGGTGGAGCCCTGCATTCCTGCAGGTAGCTGAACACCTGCCTGCAGATGGGGAGTGGTGAATGAACTCCTTGCTTTGCTTTGTTTGTGTGCACAGCTTTTGCTTTACCTGTCTATCTCAACCTATGAATTTTCTCACTTCTACCCTTCCAATTTTCTCCCCCACCCCACACAGAGGGTGTGAGTGAAGCAGCTGGGTGGTTCTTAGTTACCAGCTGGGGCTAAACCAAGGCAAGCTATGCCAGGTATAGTGAGCAGACAAGAAAGACTGTGCCACCCCTTTCCTTTTCCAGTTATGGTAGAAAGTAAGACACCACTAAGCAATTACTCATATAACTTACAGACACGTGTCTGGGGTCATATGCAGAATTACAGGGAAGACCTGTTGAGGGAGATCAGTTCTGGTTCAAGACACTGTTCACAGGTTGAGACTGGTATCTGGGAGTGACTGTGGTGCTACCACTCCAGTATATCTTCATGTTGTCCTACAAATAGTCCAGTTTCAAGGACAGTACTCCTGGGCATCCCATCCAGAGCAGGTAGAGGTGCCACAGTGCATGTGTGACTAGAGTAGTTATCAATTAGAAAACAATTCCAAACAGCCTTAGCCCTTCAAAAGTTTTATAACCTACTACTATGGCAAGACATTTGTTTGAGCTAAGCTGTGATTTTTTTTTTTTTTTTTTTTTTTTTTTTTTTTTTTTTTCTGTGCTGTGATTAAAGAAGAAAGGATGGTAGTTTTTCAAGAGCCTGGTATCAGATTAAATAATAATAATAAAAAAAAAGAGGTACACTTCCTATTAACAATACTTACAGATGTAGGAATGTAAGACAGTAGAGTGATTCATTCTGCACACCCAGTTCTGAAAGATCAACTGCAACTAGATCACTGCTTTATATAAACACTAGAGACAACTCTGCAAATTTATTGTGAGGCAGTAAAAGAAACATCCCGTAAATAACACGTTCATTAGGCTGGGGAAGGGCCAGATCAACAGAATGCAACATAAGCTTAATGAGATGAGTGTTGTATCCCAATCTTAAAGTCAGGATACCAGATCAAAAGACAGGCAATATATATATTTTCCTCTCAACTATGATTAAAAAAACCCTTAACTTGCATAGCAATACAAGACATCTGTGTTCTACTTTGCTCACCCATTTAGGAATTAGGGCATCTGCCAAACTAGTTGGTTTAATTGCTGTCTCATATAGAATCTAACATCTCCACTTCTGCTATCAAACATGAGCTGCCACGATACTCTGTTACACAATCCTATACATGTTCAAGAACTGCCCTAAAGCTGACACTGGTGCGATGTCCAGGTAGCACTGATCAGTGATCAGCTCTCATTGGTCTGCATTTATAGTCTTGCGGTCCCTGGTACAGTCCTGCGCTCACTATTTTGGGAGCCACTGTAAAAATTCCCATTTTCTCTAGCAGCTTTCAAGATGATGTTTCAGGCAATGTATCAAATGCTTTTTATATGCATACCTAATCACGCATATGCCCTCGTTCTAGGTCATTGAATAGATTACAAAGGTAGAATCAACTGGAAAAAAACATGGGTACGGTCACAGCTTTGGTATCCACTTCTTATTAATATCAATTATTTCGAGCAATCTGACTCATACATTATCAAAATTACTTTACCACAGCAGACAGTAAGCAGATGGAAAGCACCAAAACAATCTTATTGAAGGGCTTGGCCTTGCCCTTGTGGAGATGCTGTAGTTTCTGTTGATTAAGCTGCTTCCTGAGTACCTAGTGTAGGCTGAGGCCAGGAGATAAGAAAATTGCAGGCTGAAAGGCTGGTAAGCACAGAGACTTATCAGCCCTCAGATAGAAAGAGGAGACATTCTTCTTTAAGGATCAGAACAGGACTATGTGGTAACACTGACCATAGCAACAGGAACTTGGATTTCTTACCCTTTCGAGGCTCATGTTCTTCTTTACTTAAGAAGGGCTGCGGGAAAACCACTCCTGCATAGCACAGGCAGGCTTGGGAGCTTTGGTCCACAACCTTCCCACCTGCCTCAGCTCAGATATTGCTGCAAGCGGTCTGTGATGAGCAGTGTCCTCATCCTCAAATGGAAAGAGGTCACACACTGCTTTGTATCATTAGATGATTAATACACTTCTGAACCCTACAGATCCTCAAAAGCAAGGTCAGCTACCACTGGCTCGATCCTATCCTCCCGGCACCTCTAGGAGGATAAAAGGGAGACACTGTTCTGTGGTAACAGATGTGAAATCTCTCCTGGAGCTGCAAGAAGAAAGGTGCATCCTCACAACTGCAAAAACTCTCCCATCTCATTGTGTGACTTAAGACTCAAGAACAGAGGCAGAACATCGGAAGAAACCCTGGGCATTTCTTGGGACTCAGTAAGTGGAATAGGGCTCAGAGGTCTTACACTGCTGCAAAGACCTACCAGTAGGCATGAACACAGTGCTGTACTGTGGAGTTTCCCAATCCATGGCTTAATGGGATTCACACCCCATATTTATACTACACCAGTCCTGCTCACTGAGGAAATTTTTCCACTACTGAAAGAAAAAACCCCATACCAATAAAGATTAAATCTGAGCTTTTCCCAGCAACAAAGACTGATGTTAAACTAAGCTTAAAATTGACAGGCAAGACTGCCTGACACAGAGCAGGAAGTTGGGAACTATCTGAGCTCTTGACTTTGCAATAGCATATGAAGACCTCCAGAGTTTAAAAGCAGGACAAAAAAAATGAAGTCAAATTAATGGGATAAGCTTAACACTTCTGGAGGAATGACTGAGGCTGCCGTGAGTTCAGTCAAGATGAAAGCTGACATCCAGGCTCCAATACTTCAAATGGTAGTCTAATGGAGAAGAAACAAAGACTTATAGTCTCACTCACCCAGATCCTTGACGTTCTGATAAAAACAGGGAATAAATCCATATTTCTGCTTACAATCCAGGGGAACAAAGCCACCAAAACCAAACTAAACCCTGAATATTGACAGACAAACGGAATAAGATATGTAACTTTGATTCAATGGGACATAAGTAACATGCAACTCATGACAAGCCTAGACAAAGAGAGTCAAGTTACTACTGGTACTTAATCCTCGCTGATCAGTTTCAGCAGTAAATAGGCAGGTATCTTTGCAGACATTCTCAATGGATTAGATTTTAGCAGCCAAGGGTCTGAAAGTAGAGGCAGCATAGTAGCTAAGTCAGACTTTATCCCATACTCAACCTTATCAACAAAGTCAATGTTTCAGAAATATTTATTACTTCGGTATGTCTTTGATAATTATTAGTTGTTAAATCCTATACTCTTCAGTTTCTTTATCACTTATATCAGAGCCTGTGACTGCACTGTGATTTAAGCATTGCATATTTAATAATTAAATAACAGTAGTGTGGATTATTGGAAGTCCTTCATTAATTCTGCCAAAGTTTGTTGACCAGAATTTGAAGTCCATTTCAAAAGAACATTAAAGCACCTAAAAGGATAGACATTAAATACTTATCTTTTCATATGAACTCGTTATTCAACAGACATACACTGAAATATAAGAAAAAAAGACCAACTAATTTTATCTGCTTTTAGATAGCTCCTGAAAATCAGTCTTTCAAATCCAAGCAATTGGCTAAGATTTAAATAGCATCACAACATTCTTCCAGAGTAGAGAAAAATATCAGTAACTTCAGTACTTCGGCTTCTAGAAACCATTAAAAAGCCTGCTGCTATCCTAGGTTCTTTAATTTGAAACACTTAAGACCCCTAGAAGATACTTGGTAGAAATGTACATACAATCAATGAAGAACAAAGAGCAATTGTTTACTATCAAAAATTATATTATTTAAGATACTGTATCAGCAAGGTTTTTGCAGTACAAGCACGTACCCCAGCCATAATGAAAACCTGGATAAATTATACTGGATATAGCATAATTTATATTTGTGACCTTATTAAAAGGTTACAGTTTCAACTCTTTTTGAGTTTCCTTGGAGTTTGAAGTCTATCATTAATGAAGATCACAAGTAAACTGATGCCTGTCCAGCCAGTCTTGGAGCAATGGCTACCTTGGTAAGAGAAAAGCTCCCATTTTTATTGTTGAGCATGATGTTACATGGCACAGGATATACCCGCAAGTCAGTTGGGGTCAGCTGTCCTAGCTGTGTCCCCTTCCAACCTCAGCCTACCTATTCGAGGGCTGTGCACAAAATGAGAAATGGAGAAGGCCTTGACAGCATGCAAGGACTGCTCTGCAATAGGTGAAGCACCAGTGTGCTATCAACACTGCTTGTCACGAATCTGAACACAGCACCATACCAGCAGCTATGAAGAAAGTTAACTCTATCAGTCAGACCCAGTACAAGGATACATGACACAAAATCCATTTCAGAGCATTCAGCACTGGAAAGATTTTGGGAGAGCTCTGATACAAAACATACCCGAAGCAACAATATTGCTAAGTGTCAGACTAGATAAAACTCTGAACTGAGCAATTACTGGGCAATTTTAGGTACTAGGAGTTTTCAGACATTTTGACTGGGTTCAGCTGGCTGACCGAAAGCAGACTTCTTCCACATTCCCTCTGCATTTTGGCAAGTAAGCGTTTGCAAGTAGCATCAAAGCACATTCAGGCTTTTCTTCCTATAGCTGCTGTGAAAATAAGAAATAATACGAGCACTATAAACAACTGAGTTACTTTACATTACTGCACTTTTTGGACACTGTATGAAGCCAATGCTAGATATGGTTAAGCTGAATGATTATGAAAGCCTGACAGCTGAACATTCTTTCCACAATTATCTTCCCCAGCCTCAGAAATTGCCCTAAATATCAGGGGAGCTTACGGAATTTAATCATTTCAGGGTGAGATACAAAACCTGCTCTTGGCACCTTCTCTGGAGCAAAAAAACCTATCCAGCACAGTCCTTTCTTATATCAACTAACAGTATCTGTTGGATTCTTCTAGTATGACTCCAACACTTTTTGGTGACTGCCGTTGCTTTAACTGCTTCCACTCTTGGCAATGACACTCCATTCATAGCTTGATGACTTCCAGAAAGTAACATTATAAACTAGCATCTCCCCAATTACTTACATAATACATCAAGACCCTCACCCAACACATCAATCCCAGTGGAAATCCACAGTAGAAATATGCTGCAGAAATACTAGTAAGAATCTAATCCTGAGCTCAGAGACACTGGTGCCGACAGCCACAGTTAAACTTGTCACACAATAGTGACAACAGTCTGTCACTGACTGTCAGTATTTAAGAGCAGGCTAAGCAGAATTGCATGCATTTACAAACAGGCATCCCACCAGCCTTATCAAAATACTTGCAACCAACATCATATTGGATTTTAGCTAAATCATTACTGAAGATGAACTTATCTTCAGGTAGATAGGCTTTTAATACTTTAACAACAATAGCAGAAAAATGAACTCTCCACGGAAAGCGACTGCTCAGAATTTAAAAGACCGGTGATGTTGAGATGATTAGTCTAGTTCTTAGCCCTCAAGACAGCAGTGAAACTCATCACAAGAGAAGTCACAAAAAGTTGAGAAGTAACAGAATTAACTGGAGATCTTTAAAAACACGAATTGCCAGGAAAATACAAGTATGTCTACCTTTTCCTTCCATAGCTAGTAACTACAAAGATTTCAGCAACATGGTCTAGTAAGAAGCAAACCCTACATGGATTCACTGGAAGCAATGCAGTCAAACTCAGCCAGCCAGGCATCCAGCTGAGCTACAGCACCAGTGTGCTCCTCAAGCACTGCAAGAAAGGGATGCACTTTGATTTGATGCATCAGTGTGAGAAAAATGTCATCTGAAGGCTGTAGATAAAGAGCACATGTCCCATTGAATTGGCAGTTGACATTGCTGTACATAACAGGACCATCAAGAAGTGTGGCTGATCTTCATTATTCAAATGTGTTGACTGCTTTTTTCAACAAATGGGTTGTCATACAACACTCTTCAGATTTTAATATACTAACATATGAAAACAGCAACTTCAGTTCACTGGAAAGTTTTCTTTTTAATTTTACCATAAAAAGACAAAATAAACTCTTTCACTGTAATATTATAGCTTTTAATATTCCTGAGCTGCATTTTAGAAGCAAAGGTATTTGTAAATAGATTTAACAAGAGACACTGCAGCCTTACTTTCCAACACCACAAGTAAAAATAATTTAGCAAGAAGGCCCCTTTTTCAAAAGACAATGGCTAGCTCTGTATGTACCTGAAAAAATGCTTCAAGTGGCTCTGTGCCACCTGAAGTAATTACAAAGCCATATATGTCAACAAAATAATAGAACAACTTTTCAACCATTTTACCACTGTTTCTTACTTCCTACATCAGTGTGCCTCTCTTACATGGAAAGTATTATTATACAAATGGCATTACATGCCAGAATAATTTGGGCCACAAAGCTTGGCACCATACAGACATATGAAGGAATCAGCAGTTTAAAGGATATCCTGCATATCTTTATAGTCAGTTTTAAGAACTATATGAAAGTCCTGCTATGCATCTCAGTCAGCAAAAACTCTACTTTGTTAAATGTGATTTCGTTGAATGCACCAGAAAGCATTTTAAATCAAATCTGTATGTAACAGCTTAGCTTGTCAAGTCTGGAGCTCCTGTAACTGGCACACACGTACTTCTCAAGCCAAATTAGGTGATACAGATAAATACTAAATAAACTAAAATTAGGGTTTAGAAAACTGAAAATCAAGAAAACAGGTTGGCTTTTAGCACTGTAGGAACTCGAGCACGAGCACAGGTGGTTATACCTACATTGCAGTAGATACCTAGAAAGAGACAACAAAGCACGAAGGAACATCAAAAATCAGGCATCTATTTTCTTGATTTGAGGGACTAGGTACACATTAAGCATTGGTTGAAACAAATGTGTTTTCTATAGCAGTCACACCGATGAGGTCTCGTTTACAACTTTCTGGCCCTTTTGTCCAACCACAGCTTTTCCAAGGAGCCAAGGCCTCCACTACCCACTCCAAGTACTCCTTTGCTTACTCAGTGATCTCCTCCGGTGCCTTCGTCTCCTGCTCACACTTCTGCGACTCTGACTTCTTTCTCTTCTGTCTCGTTTACGTTCGCTACTGCGAGTTCTTCTGTAGTGCGAACGTCTGGGGCTTACATTTCTTCGACGAGGACTATGGCTTCGTCGAGGACTGTAACTTCTGCTAGAGTGTCTATAATACCTCCTTTCTTTCGTCCGTTTTTCATCCTGATAACTCGCATCTCTTCTGTGTCTGCTCCTCTCTTGTTTACCCTTACTCTCATCAGTGTTTATGCTGCTACATGAACGGCTCTTTCTTCTCCTTGACTCTGTGCTGCGTTTGCCCTGCTCACAGTGTGAGTCCTTCCTGCAGGTATTCTGGTCATAGCTAGAGAGGCTCTTCTGCTGCTGGTTATTGGCAGGAGCACATGAAAGTACCCCTGAACTTCTTTTCTCAGAACACCTCTCAGAGTTTGTGGTATTAAGTTTCTGAGCTTCTTTGACATGAACTTTGTCATGAATGTTGCCATTCAAGTACTTGCATTGAGTGTGTACATTCTCAGGGGATGCTACTTCTCTTTGAGAGCCAGGAGCCAGTTTGCTTGTAACAGCCTGCCCTGAGGTAGACGTGATGCAGCTGGATGACACAGTGTGTGGAATACTACTCGGGGTTTTCAGCATGACAGACTGAGATGCTTCAGTTTCTTCTTTGTTTTGATTAACTGCATCCATTTTCTTGCTCAGAAGATTGTTCAGCAGTTTCTCTCTCAGTTCCTTTTCCTTCCTCTGCAACCCCAGTGCTCTCTCTTTTTCCTCCTCCACACGTTTGAGCTCAGCCTCCTGAAGTTTTCGTCTCTCCTCTAGCTGCTGAAGACGAATCTTTTCTTCATTATGTTCTTGCTCCAAAAGCTTTACTGTCTGAAAGATAGTCAAAGGGCAGTTCAGAGTAAATAACAAATATTTATAGACCTGCTCATGCTTCCAAGTTATACCATAACACAAAATCAGCAATATGGCAATAGAATAAAATATAACAAACAGAACTTAACCATCCCAAAGTAAAATTGTTGTTTCCCTCTTAAAGCAAAAAAATCCAAACCCAACTAACCGAATAAAACCCACTAACACACAGCTGATCTAAGGTGAAACATTAGCATTAGCTCACAGACTCTTTTGAGTGTTAATTTCTCCTAGCTGTTTCACAAGGCAAAACCAAAGCCTGGTCTTTATGGCTCCTTAATATGATGAGTGTAACACACAAGCTAAAACACATGTGAAATTTAAAGTATTAAACTACATTTATCAGGGTCAGTACTTGAAGATTTCAGTCAAATGTAAAATGTGCATTTCTCTTAAATTGCAATCTGTGGTTCATAGATGACTTTACAATGAGTCCATAAAACCAGCAAATAATTAAATGCACACATATTATGTGGAAAGTTATTCTCATCTTGTCAACCACTTTAGAAACTCATGATACTGAAAAAGACGGTTTAAACTCTTTTATTCTGACCAGGACTAACAGTTTAGTGTGGTCTTCAAAACTCAGACTGAAACACACACACTGGTCTATTTTATCAGAGAACTCTTCCATTTCACAGCTTCAAAGTCACAAAGCCTACAAGAAGTATTACTGCCTTCTCCTAGCATATAACTGACCACATAGCACTGTATGGGTTCAAAAACACTCCTGAGGAAAAAAAGGAAAACTGTGCTTTGCCACACAGTTTTTCATTTCTACATAAAATACTTAACATACATTACACCTGAACATGGCTTTATGTAAGTCTTAAGCAAATGACACCCAGTTTCAATGAAAAATAACAATACTCTTAGAGAGACAGGATCTAACATTTGAAACCTTAGCTGACAGTGCTTTTTCTACAGAAAAATCATTCTGCACATTTTCAAACATCAAACAGTGAAAGCTCATTCTCTGAAACTGCAAATAATAGTTAACAGAACTGCTGAAAGACAGATGGAAAACAGCACCAAAACTGGAATTAGAAATAAGGAGTCTTAGCATCTTATCCTCTGTGTTTAGTTCACATTATCATGCTTACACATTCTTCTACTGGACTTAAGAGCAAGTCTGCCAATTAGTTTACAAGTGAAAAAGTGCTATTCAGGACTACAGGTTCAAGTTCACTCCTCAATTTACCAATATGTGCATATTTTTACCAAGGGTGAACTACCGTTTCATTGCACTTTTTTGAATTTTTAGTTTAAGAAATAACATTTTGAGAGGTATTAAATCTGCTGGTTAATGAACAGCACTCCCCACTCCCTCTCAAGTCAGTAAAAGGCTTTGTTCTGCTGGGTTTTTCATTCATTAGCTTCTGAAATAAAAACTGAAGTTACCTTTGCCCTGCTTAGCAGTTCTGCAATTAGTCTAATGGACTGAAGATTTCTTTGAGCTAACAGGAGCTTCCTTTCTTCTAACTTTATCTTCTCTTGTAGTTTTTTTTGTTCTTCAGCTTGAAGCTTTTCAAGTTGCTTTTTGTTTCGTCGAACTTCACGATCTTTCTGTTTCTGTTCCCTTTTGCGCAACTTTTCTTCTCTTTTTCTCTCTCTCTCATATTCTTCAAGCTCCCTCTGCTTCCTAAAAAGAGATTAATATTTTTTAACTTATCTAGGGCAGGTAAAATTTTAGACTTCCACTGTATATAAAAATGTATTTTGTACTTTAGAGTAAATTTGTTTCTAAGTAAGTCTTGTTGATTACTGAAAAACAGAAGTAGAAAACACTGATCATTTTAACCACTAGTTGTGATAGCAAACAATCATCACTGTCAATACTTAAAATACAAGTTGGAATCCAACATAAACCACAGCTACAACAAACATTTTTTAAACCAATTCCACCAGGGACAGTAACAAAGCATCAGGCAGCTGGGCAGTGAATTGTCACAGTGAGAAGAAAATTACCAAGCCAATTAATGTGTGCAGGGGTTGGTGCTTTTTATTTCAGTCATTAGGACAAAAAGGTAGTTTATGTAAATGGCTGAAGGTTTCTGAGATCAGGTGTCTAATGGCATGATTTTTAGGAAAGTATTTTGTAGATTTAATATTTTGAACCAAACACAAGCACTGGTGACAATAACCCTAGAGTTTCAGAAACTGTTTAATATCTAAACATTAAGCAATGAGAATTTAATGGAATAAATGGACACCATACAGCCTCTGAAACAATCTGATCCATTTGTGTTTATATACTGAACAGCTGTCTTGTGACATCTGCACACTTATATGTTTTCTTAAAGTGTCAAGTATTAAGATATGCCTGTATCCCATCCCTCTCCTAGAAAAATATTGATGTTAAGAAAAAATTAGATTTATAATATTGAAGTCACTAGTAGTAGAACTAGTGCATTATTTTCTATTCTCCATTTACAGTGCACATTTTTCCATGAGAATGACTACACATCATGCAAATTCACAGCTCTTGGAATTACAGTTCAAGAAAAAAAGTGTACAACACTTCTCCAAATCTCATAATCCCTGAACCCTATTTCCTCAAAAGCACCCCAATATTCTCACTCAGTTTTAAGTGCTTAGCTTTAGCTACAGGAGTAGAACTTTGAAGGGAAGCTTGTGTTTAAATACTGTCTGTCTATTGAGCAATAAAAGATAAATACCTTTCTTCCTCTTTTTGTTTTTCCTCAGCTTCCTTCTCTTTACGCTTTTGTTCTTCTCTCTGTTTTTCAAGCTCTTGAAGCTTTTGCCTTTCAAGCTGACGCTTCTTAATTGATGCATCACTGAGGTGTTTTGTAGAGTCAAAAGAAACCTTTACAGGATACAATTGAAAACAGTTTTAAGTAGACAAAAAGAAAAAAAATCCCGGGCAACCCACACAATCCCCAACCATTTTAATTTAGCATAAAGGTATCCAAATTACAGTGTAAGTACAATCAGAAATATAAAACCCTTTCCAAAGCCAAGCAAACTTCTCTTTGTGCCCAGAGCAAGCACCAGAGTACTATAACCAGATAACTGGGAACTAAATCCCTGCACACCAGCACAATCGGGTACCAGTGTACCTTTTGTGTGATATCCAAAAGTAAACCCTAGCATGGTTTAGGCCCTGGCTGTCCGATGTTTTCAATCTGTCAGAACAGAAATGTATGGAACACATTCAACTCACGTATGCTGTTTGGGACTGTACAGGACTAGGTAGAAATGGGCCTAAATAAAGGCCTTCCTTTCTGTCTAAAACTATGATCCTTAAATTCAGAAAAAAAACCCCAGTTCACAGTTCTGAGCAATGGGACCCAGGAAAACACTCAGCTTCCAGGACATATGAGCACACCTTGCCCATGTCTAGCTGAATGCTGGAACAGGACACCAGCAGACATCACATCACACCCCTGGTGTCCTAATCTCCCATCCTAGATATCGACTGCGCACACAAAGGCAGGGGTCTATACTACATTCCCACAAGTCTATCATCATGAACGATGGGGCAAAGAACAAGGAGCACATATTCTGTGGTTTAATTACCCCAGGCTCTACGTAAAATGATGTTTCACTAACAGGCTAAAAAAACAGCTAGAAACAGACAAGGTGTTGTGACCTTGTATAAAAGAGGTCTGTCCTGACAGCACAGTCCAAACACAGACCTCTCTCTTTCCTATCACTCCCCAAGGCAGCTGCCAGGAAGGCATGCTTCCACTTGCACTGCCAAACTAAATTTGGGAACCCTGATCCCCTCCATATATGTGACAGTTTGAATTTCACATCCCCTTGAAAACCTTGAGGGTCAAGGTAGAAACAGTTTCTGTGCTCCAACTGACAAACTGAGAAGAAAATAAAGGATTACAGTATTTCACTTCTAATGACTAAACTACAATTTGAATAAATATTTGCATGTTCCCACATTACACAAAGGAATACTCAAGATTCTTCCTGAAATACACTTTCTGATTTGATGAATGACCATCGAACATACCGAAATATACCCACAGACATTTCATTCAACTGCTATGTAAATGCACAGACCACCTCCAAAGATATTAGAGCAAGTTTTCTTCAGGTCATGCTTTCATAGATACTACATCTGAACAGACTGTCTTATCCTCTCCCATCATAGCTGTATTTTCTAAGACAATGAGGTTACAGAAAGAGAGATCTGGAAAACTCAGTAAGTAAGTATTATGAATTAAGTGTACTGCACTCACAGGAAACTGTGCTACAGATTAACATTATCGTTTAAATCTTTGTGAGGCCTTTCTGTAGGTGAAGAATGATTAACTGTCTATTCTCCAGGCTGCACAGGCCACATGTTATTGAATTGCACAGTTCCAACACTTGTCTGGTAGACCTCATTATCAGTGCAGGGACCAGATACTGAGGCTGTGAAATTCTCCCCCTAAATTTCCATCTGTAGTGAACACAAGAGAGAACAATACACTTCAAGGTCAGCCTTCTGGTGAAATATGTCTGAACTGGTTCAAAATTAGAATTTTAAGTGAAATGACAAGATTTATAAATAAATATTAGTTTCTAAAAACTATTTACACAGGCCATGTTCATATACTCGGTCCTTCTATAAGCAGTTCTCACTCCTAAAGTGGTCTTGTTAAAATAAAAAAAAAAAAAAAAAAGCAAAACCCCAGTGACTTTGTTCACATAGTCTAACAACACATTTTTTCTTCCACCATTTTCCTTTAAAAATTCTACTATGGCTGTTCCATAAAAGTACTGCTGTTAATGTCACCTGCTGTCATCACGACAGTATACAGATGTAAGTTTTAAGCACGGGGGAAATAACATTTAGTTGTACTTGGTCTCTCACACAGGTTCCCATAAAAAAGCCTTCAGTTTCTCACCTTTATATTGCAAGCCACTGCTTTGCCATCTTCGCCTTTATACATCAGCTTCATCCCTCGCAGGGCATTCATGGCTTTAATGAAACCTGCGTACTCTCGATACTGAACATAAGCTTCAAAATTTAAATGGCCTCCAAAACTGAAAGTGTGAAAATTTCTGCCAGTCATTTCTTCTCTGTAAGGGTCCAGCATGGGTATGTCCACATTACGTATCTCTCCAAATTTCTTGAAAACTTTTATAAGGACTTCTTCGCTTGGCTTTTCCGAACCAGAGTCCTTTGCTGCAAACCACTTACAAGGTAAGCCCTCTAAGTGAATAGTATCTGGCCTTTCTCCTGGCAAAGTCTCATTCATATCTTTTGCATCACGGAAAAACGAGTCCCAGTCATGTCTGGTAGGAAAGTCAATCTTATATTCCGCAGCACGGACTTTTAAAATGTCAGAGAAGCCACTCAGCTTTATTGTTTTGCCATCAAGGCAAGCCAGAAAAGATTTAACCAAACTTTTGTTTTCAACCTCTCCTTCAAACCGAATGAAATCCATTGTGCTTTTAGAAATCCGCAGAGTGGAAAACTGATGAGTCTGCACCATCCCTTTCAATCTTTCCATCACTTCCCAGTTTGAAATGGATTTTCCCGGTTGTTTCAGCTGAGGAAGTGCCACACTGATGGTCATTTTTGTAATAGGTTTAAGGTATAACCCACAGGGAGCACAGAGCTCTACTGCTTCTGATGTATCATGAACTATTGTTGCAGCAGCCATAACACAGAAAAAGCATAGGATAAAAAAATAAAAGATGCAAGTTTAAGTTGCAGGCCAACAGTAGTCAAATAAAATAGCCCTTATCCGTAAGTAATTTAATTCTTTGGCCATTTAACCATTCCCAATTTAAAACAATGTCTCGTAATACAAGAGTCAATTAGACAGTTAAAACCGAGTAGTACAAACATCTTAAATTACTTTATAACAACTAGAATCTATAAGTTATTAAACCTCAGTAAGGCCTCAGAAAAAAAACAAGAAGCTGATGACAATCTTAGGAATACATGAAGTTGGTATGTGATGGCTCACAAAGCATCAGCTACCCTTTCTCAGGAAGGAAGGGCCTGGCGGAGCGATGTCACACTGTTCTGAAGTCTACTTAACAACCAGTAAACCCCAGCAGGCTAGCGTCGAGGCGGATCCCACGTTCTCCAGCAGAAAGGCATGGAAGGTGTCTGCAATGAGAGAAAAACGCCCCTTTTACTGAAAAGCCTGAAGCCCCACCGCCCTCCCTCCGAGCAGCGCTGAGCCGCCTCAGCTGTACACGGCGGGGGAGCGCCGGGAG